CATGTCATTTCATAATTAAAAATGTAGTTAAAACAAAGCGAATTACTATTCCCATTGAATAAAGTTAATTTGACTGAATGTTGAAACAAAAGAGCGTCTAGTTGTCGGTCTCCCAAAATTTTTTTCAGTGTTGAACAGCGATGATTTATTTATTTTAAAATAAAAGAAACAAACAAAGGTAATTTTAGTTATTCTAGGGTATCTCTATAGTATTGTATCATCACGTGTTGGCGACTTCATTTTCTATGAAATTTTTTTTCTTTCAGTCCGACGACCACGTGCTACTAGCCCTAAACACAAGCTCGGTATTCATGTATGATCAAAGGAAGAAAAACATCACAGACGGAAAAAATACAAAATAGGTTTTTGATGTCAATAAACCGGACCGGAACTGCCTCAAACGCTGACCAATCCGAATCATAGACAGGAACGACCAACGATAATGAGTTTCACGGGCGAGAGCGACAAGTTATTCGAAACACGGATCAATGAGTGACACCATCGCGATGATTATCATCATTCAAACGAACACGAATATTAATCAGGTCAATCGGACGGAACGCATGGATTATAAAATCCAGCGGGTTTCAGTATCGCTTCAACGGAATTCCCTTTCGAAAATTCGGTTATTCGGTAGGAAAATTCCATTTGTGCGTGTTTCAGTGTGAAGTTGGTCGATTGGATTAAGCTGAGAAATCTGGGAAAATTTCCTGGATTAAACTGTTCTTGATTCATGAAAAAAACGTACGAAATACGTTCCTCCATGCAAATAAAATTAAATGAATCCAACCGGGTTTTGCTTCAATTGGCCAGATTTTTGAGAAATCCTTCTTACATTTCCTTCATAGGAAAAACGTTGAATTATAGACTGATTTTGCCGGGAACAGTACTTTCTTCCACTGCGGGAAATGAAAAAAATTACAGTGCGTCTCATTCTCAAAGGAATAATTGACCAAGGGGTGAGTATTTCGGAATAAATACAGAAAAAATTGAGCCATTTTTGCAACTGGAACGAGCAAGGTGCCATAACCCCCCACGTATAAATTGGCAAGTATAGTTCGTGAGCTTGAAAAAAGTGATTTGGTCTCCCGCGAAGCCGACAGAAGATATTTTCTTCTGAAAAGAGAAAAATTATAACCATGAGCTCGATCAGCATGGGACAAAGAACGTCGTGAATCCTTTGGAGACGACAAAAATTGACAGATTCTGCGTCTAAGGGTTGGTTCAAAAAGTTTTGCCAGACGTGTTTCTCCCGTTGGAGTTCGGTTTATTGATGCATGGATGATTATTTCTCATCTTCGGCCCTGAGTCAATTTTTGCTCAAAAAATTTAAAGAAAGGAAAATATATATATGGTGAACCTTGAAAATGAAAGCCATCAGTATGAAAAAAAAGAGTTCAACTATACAATAATATGGATGTTTTAAGAGTTTTTACATTTGTTGTTCTGTTTAAATGGCTTTAATCTCAAGCACTCCAGTTGAAAAATACTCACAATGAATATACTGTCCAAGACCTGACAGTCATATTCCTGGGAGAAAAGTTTTTTTTCATCTCTGTATATTTGTTTCTTCAGAAGATGCCAAATATTAATTTTGAAATGAAGCAAGAATTTCGCCGAGAAGACAGGACTGCGATAGACACAAATTTTCGTCAAATGCACATGAGTTTAGCGTGGTTTGAAGAATCCTAACTCAAAAACTCAGCCGCATAAAACAACTTATTTTCCTTTTACTGTACTGACTAACATTTTGAGCCATCCCTCGCATAATTCAAATCTCAATTCAATTTTAAGAGAGCAGTCCACCCAATGGAGATAGATGTCGCACCAGAAGGAAAAACAACTGCCCAAGAATTCATTNCAGATGATTAATATTCATCTCGATTCTGTCAGACCGTATCGTTTCATTTTCCTCATCGTGTCCTCCAGTAATGCGAGCATATAATAGAGTCTAATTTCTCACTACATAATGCAGTTACGGCTTTCTGAATTGCTCATCGATGTAGACCTTCACGGGAAAACAGGCGAATACCTTCCGAATACTTTCGCTTACGGCTGAGAGAGAAAATTTCACCAAGACGATGAATCACTTATTATTAACCCGGACGTGGATCATTGCCCAATATTCAGCGAAATCTTCGGCCTTTCCGGCTTGACGTGAGCTGCAGTTCCGGTTCTTCATATTCACATCACGAAATTATCTCCATAGAACTGCATGCAGTTCCAAAAGAAAAATGTAGCCCTTTTTCAATAGTTTTAAAGAAATTAACGCTAATTTACGTGTTTCAAAGATCAGATGATGACGCTGAAAATATATCACCAAGATATATTCTTCCGACACGAAAATTCCCCTCATGAAAAAGTGAGAAAATTAATAACGTCTTCTAGAAGAAAAACAAATGAGATTCCTTTCAAAATCCCACTATTGACTTTTTGAAAGAAGGGGCCGTTATTATTTAATACATTTGAAAAGGTGTACAGTAAAGTATTAATTTTTACATCAATTTTGTTTCGCTTAATGATAAGGGTAACTTATTTCAATTAAACTGACTTACAAAAAACAAAAGAGCGTCTAGTTGTCGGTCTCCCAAAATTTTTTTCAGTGTTGAACAGCGATGATTTATTTATTTTAAAGTAAAAGAAACAAACAAAGGTAATTTTAGTTATTCTAGGGTATCTCTACAGTATTGTATTATCACGTCTTGGCGATTTTATTTTCTATGAGATTTTTTTCTTTCAGTCCGACGACCACGTGCTACTAGCCCTAAACACAAGCTCGGTATTCATGTATGATCAAAGGAAGAAGAACATCACAGACGGGAAAAATACAAAATAGGTTATTGATGTCAATAAACCGGACCGGAACTGCCTCAAACGCTGAACAATCCGAATCATAGACAGGAACGACCAACGATAATGAGTTTCACGGGCGAGAGCGACAAGTTATTCGAAACACGGATCAATGAGTGACACCATCGCGATGATTATCATCATTCAAACGAACACGAATATCATTTCTCCTGGCTCAAGATTCGGAGAAAAAACCCCTCTTTTGCCTGTTCGAACGCATTCCTTGAACCGGAACTCGGAGCGGCGATTCACATTAGGTCAATGGAATTTTCGGAGAAAACACGCGACCAAAATCCGGTCAATTTGTCTGTTGAATGGGAGGGCATTTGCCAACTAAATGATTTGTCTGTTCAATGCATTAATCAGGTCAATCGGACGGAACGCATGGATTATAAAATCCAGCGGGTTTCAGTATCGCTTCAACGGAATTCCCTTTCGAAAATTCGGTTATTCGGTAGGAAAATTCCATTTGTGCGTGTTTCAGCGTGAAGTTGGTCGATTGGATTAAGCTGAGAAATCTGGGAAAATTTCCTGGATTAAACTGTTCTTGATTCATTAAAAAAAACGTAAAAAATACGTTCCTCCATCCAAATAAAATTAAATGAACCCAATCGGGGTTTGCTTCAATTGACCAGATTTTTGAGAAATCCTACTCACATTTCCTTCATAGGAAAAACGTTGAATTATAGACTGATTTTGCCGGGAACAGTACTTTCTTCCACTGCGGGAAATGAAAAAAATTACAGTGCGTTTCATTCTCATAGGAAATAATTGACCAAGGGGTGAGTATTTCGGAATAAATATCGAAAACATTCAGCCATTTTTGCAACTGGAACAAGCCAGGTGCCATAACCCCCCACGTATAAATTGGCAAGTATAGTTCGTGAGCTTGAAAAAAGTACTTGGTCTCCCGCGAAGCCGACAGAAGATATTTTCTTCTGAAAAGAGAAAAATTCTAACCATGAGCTCGATCAGCATGGGACAAAGAACGTCGTGAATCCTTTGGAGACGACAAAAATTGACAGATTCTGCGTATAAGGTTTGGTTCAAAAAGATTTGCCAGACGTGTTTCTCCCGTTGGAGTTCGGTTTATTGATGCATGGATGATAATTTCTCATCTTCGGCCCTGTGTTAATTTTCGCGCAAAAAATTTTACGGAAGGCAAATATACGGAGGTGAACCTTGAAAATGAAAACCATCAGTATGAGAAAATAGAGTTTAACTGCAATAATATGCATGTTTTAAGAAATTTTACATTTGTTGTTCTGTTTAAATGGCTTAAATCTCAAGCACTCCAGTTGAAAAATACTCACAATGAATACACTGTCCAAGACCTGACAGTCATGTTGCTGGGAGAAAAGTTTTTTTTTTTTAATCTCTGTATTCGTTTCTTCGAAAGATGCCAAATATTAATTTTTAAATAAAACAAGAATTTCGCCGATAAGACAGGACTGCGATAGACACAAATTTTCGTCAAATGAACATGAGTTTAGCGTGGTTTGAAGGATCCTAACTCAAAAACTCAGCCGCATAAAACAACTTATTTTCATTTTTCTGTACTGACTAACATTTTGAGCCATCCCTCGCATAATTCAAATCTCAATTCAATTTTAAGAGAGCAGTCCACCCAATGGAGATAGATGTCGCACCAGAAGGAAAAACAACTGCCCAAGAATTCATTTCTTCTCATAGTGAAGTACGCATTTTTCATGCAAAATTTTATTTATTTTTTGCTAAATGAAGGTTTGAAAACTGATGAGTGGGCCGGCTGCAAAATAATTGCTGTATCTCTATTCCTGTTTCATTTTACCTTCTGAATATTTCGAGCTGAAATTCGCCAAATTCAAATAATTTATCGACGCGCTTTGAAATTGATTCCGACTTCACGAGGGTAGTGTGGGTGTGAGTCGTGATGGCCCATGAAGAAAATCGTTAACCGATCAAAACCCTGAACGGGAAAAAAAGTTTTCCTCGATCGATCCGAAGTAACGAATCGGAATCGATTAGATTACAAAAAGTGTATCCTTTGAAGGTGGGAAACCGTTCAAAATTTTTTCCCTCGCAAGACGCGCGGTCCACTTGAGGCAGTGAAAGGGAAAAGTGTAAGAAGAAACAGTTTTTGAAAGAAAAAAAAATGGAATGGCTAGATTCTACTTACCGAATGTTTTCTGGGGCTTGATTAGCTTCGATTGTTCCTTCAGGACTGCTGCTTGTTGGAAGTCTCGTAACGATTTGGACCAAGATCGACGCACGTTTTTCTTGCTGCTCGACCGCTTGTTGCTGCCGGAGCCTTTGATGCGTCCACTCCGCGTGCGCATTCGAAATCTGAAAAAAACGAATAATTCAGAAAATAGTCTTTCAAATAATGCATCAGACCTTTGAGAAATACGTGCACCTTCGGAAATTTGTTCATAAATATATCTCGTTTTTATACCAATTTTACTACGATCAGAAAAATGTAAAACCCTAATTAAAATCACTTCTAGTCCAAAATGCAGCCCGCTCCGAAAGGCAAAAATTATTGGGTCTGAAATATCCAGATCGCATTGTAAACTCATCTTCACGAACGCAAATCACTGGGAATATTAAAATTGAAATGAATATTGCTGAATATCTTTAAAATCGAGTGGTGAAAACAAATTTATTAAATTTGCTTAACCAATCTAATCAATTAAAGTAATGTTCGCCAACGCAAATCGCTGGGGATACAAATACAGATGAAAATTGTTCACAATTTTCAAAATCAACAGCAGAAACAGATTGATTAAAGTGGCATGAATGAACACAAAATTAGGCACTAAGAGTCAACAAAATAGATCAAAAGCATCCGATTTTTAAAGAAATTTAAAAAATTTCAGGTCTACAGATACAGTGCCTCGAATTTAAAAACTGATACTATCATGAAATACTGCATCGTAATCCTATTTAGCGGATCAGACAGACGGGACATTTAAAAAAAAAATATGTTTTGGATTGGAAATTTCAGAAATCATAAATTACCTCGAGGCACAGAAATTTCGATGCCCCATCTTTTCTGCAATTGTTACTGATTGTATACTTTTCAAAATATTCCCTTCTGTAATAAAAGCATTTAACGATGGAAAGTTCTCCGTTACTTTTAACATTATTCTATAAATTGATCATCATGACTTTCGCTTCGTAAAAAGCCCAAGGAACATGTGCTCTGAGGTCTGCATGATTTATAAAACGATAAATTGATCGAGTCACTGTAATTCAAAGTGCTTTTAATCATCACACGAGCCGCCACGCAACCACAAAAAAAAAAAAAAGACAAGCGATGTACTGTACGAAGGTAAGACTCATCCAATGGCTCTGATCCTGTCACGTCTTACTAGCAACTAACAGTCCGTCAAAGTGAGTCGATGTAACACGGAAATAATTTTTATCTTCATGCGTATCCTACAAGTGAAACAGTGAGGGGTTGCAAGGTTCTTCACGGGTTCCTCAGCGACTGCACTCAGTGATTGAGTGGCCGTCAGGAAATTATGCAAATCCACGCTTGCCGCTGCACGCGCTTCACCCTAAACAGAAATGAGTCTCGGTATTGGGCTGATCCCAGCCCACCCACGATTCCTCCCAAGGTTCAGAACCAGGAAAAGATGTTCCTCATCGAAAAGACAAAAAAAGGGCCTCATTTTTAGCTTCAACAGAAATTAATTTCATAAAAAATGGGAACGACAGCGAATGGAGGATGGAAGGTTGAATCATCTTGACTCAAATAAAATGGAATTTAGATTAACCGTGCTTCAAGTAACCATGAATTCCATTAAATAAATAAAAAAAATAAACGGCGGTATATGATATCCTTGCAGAATTCATCACTATTCACATTTCTGTTGATTCCGCTGAATTATTTTCGTGAGTTGATCATTTCATGCGATTGGCATCTTTTTGACATGGTTACACGGAACCATTTTCATCGCAATTAAATAAAATACCGTAAGTATGCAGTAGTAATCGCACTTAACAGACCCTTTCACAAAAATGCACCGATTAGCATAAAATGCGTTCTCAATTTGACCGAGGTTCTACGTAGGGATTTAATTTGTGTTGTACAGTAATATATTATCCGAGAAATTTCCAATAATTCTGAAAGACGCACATGATCATTGAAAAAAATGAAATCTCAATTGTGCATCAATACGATGGTTGTGCTACTTCTGATTGATCTTGGTTATTTCTAGAGTAGGTACCACGGTTTAAAATATATGTACGTATGATGTAGCCCATGCTTTTGTAAGGTGTTTTTTCCCCCAGATTTCATTTGCGCGTGTTTAAACTGTCGAAACTTTTTCAGGCCAGACAAAACAATGAAAATTGTATGCTGTTTTTAGCACAACATTTCCTAAATCTTGTGTAATTTAAAAAAATTTGCAGTGATTATTTTGTTTGCAAAAATTGAAAGCCTAAATGAATTTTTCATTTCTCCAAGAACAAGGGTTTATTTACAATTTTTCAATTTACTCTTCAAAAACATTATCCACGGCCTAGTTTCTGCTTGTGATATTTTTCTCACTACCTCGAAATTTTAATATCCATTTCTATTCTGTTTATTTCCACGTTCCGACGGCGGAACTTTTAAAAAATCGAAAAATACTAATTAAAATATAGATTTAAAATGCACGGAGCTAACAAGGCAACCAACGGCTTTCTCGGGCAGTGAACAAGTCGGCCACGGAAAGCTTAACAAAAGCTTACGTGAAACTATGCCCAGCCTCAACATGTCGGAAAAAAGTAGGATCATCCTGTCACTCGTGAACTAAGCGACTCGTCTCAACTTGTCACGACTACGAATCATCTCGTCACGGCTTATTCAAGGTTTATCAGTCGGGGGATCCGAGTTCAAACGGCCACATACGCTTTTTCGGGTATCAAGCTCATTCGAATGAGGATAACGCAACTTATACCGGGCATTATTTTCGCGTCTCCTGTCTTTTGTTTATCGATATTTACGTTAACTCGTTAAGATGCCTTTCGGGCACGATATTGAAAGAAAGGAAAATAAATTTCGAAAAAATGCAAACCTTACAGTGTTTTGCCGCATATAGTTTTGAACTGCAGTCACTGCGTGATTTTATTCTCACGTTTTATCACGCACGATATTCTCCTTACCTTACCTTAACCTAAAAATAAATAATAAAAAATGTCGGGGGCTTGTGTGGGTCTCTTGATGGAAAACTGTTACGTTAATTGTATGCAAGATCGATCAATTCTCATTCTTCAGATAGCCGATCAGAAAGTTTTGAGAGAAATCGGTCACCTGGTCAGGACCACGGAAGGGCTGGCTTCTTCCTCCTCGTCTTCACTCCGCTCGACGTCGATCCATTCGTCACCCTGCGACGCCCGCGGCGTCTTCGGCAGCTTATCGACGAGGGATCGCTTCGGGGGACACTTGGCGTCCATGGGCGTCGTCGACGTCGGCTCCGGCAGCTTTCTCCGCGGCGGCAATTTTGGCTCATTGCGCATCGCCGGCGTCAGTTCGTAAGACGTGACTACGTGCACATCGCAGCAGTCGTCTCCTGTGCGATCAGATATCAAGGAAAATAAAATAAAAACCTTGGTCAAGGAACCCATAATATACAGTACCGTACTTTCAATGATAATTACTGCAATTCCACAGGAATCTTTCTTTTAAATTTTTCATACGCAGCAGAAACACGAATATCCCAGTTGCGATGAACCACATTCAAATTACAGGTCAATCAGAGATAAAAGGAACAAGCCCTGCGGCATTTATCCAAAATAAAGACGCACTGTCGTTTTAAAGAAAAATTGGCTCGAAAAAATATATCTGGTTGCCTTCTATACTAATCACTTTTTTTTCCCAATCGACGGCCTAACAGATTCACATTTTAAAAAGCATACATTTTCTATCCTCGAATTCGTATTTTCGAAAGTCGAAGTTACAAACATAAATGCCAACAAGAGGCAATACAAGGAATTTTCATCAACAGGAACAGGTTCCATTTTCTTTTCCTGCGTGATGATGAATGGCGTTCGAGCAATTATTTCTCTCATTCTAGGTTCGGTATGCTCGGTATTGCAATTTAAAAATTCCAATCACAATTATCACGCTGGTTCACGTTTTGAAAATTTATTGTCAGGAATCTTGAGAATTTGGAACCAATAACGGCTCTAGAAAATCGTATCAATCGCATAACAATGAAGATTCAGTAATAATGAAGTGCGACTGTTGCATAATTCGTCACACTGAAAATTCTTTCGACGTGCGGCTCAAATTTCGCAAGAATTTAAAATACGGTAATACAATTGAAACTTTGAAATGCTCAAAGGCTCTCTTTGCAAGTACTGCATTTTCGAATGTCAATGTTGAGCACATACTGCATTATTGCTGTCTCTTCTTCATTCGATTATTGTAGTAAGATTTCCAAGAGCTTTCTACGTCCGAAAAATCATAAAGATTCCAGAAAATACATTTCTGAGACGGTTTACGCAGAAATAAGCTTCGAAATGGCAATTGCATCTTCTTTTTGTTTCATCTCACACCTATTCAATGCTCGAGTTTTCCACGTTTCACGGAGACATGCCACAAAACAAAACAAAAAATGTGACAAAAAGCCACAAAATAGCAAAACCTCAGGCCAACGGCGAAGTACTGTTGTTTTCGCACACTGTAAAATTACAGTTACCGACACACAAAAAAAAAAAAACATTCGGACAAGTTTTTTTGAGAACAAAACCAAGAGTCTCAGCACAAAAACTCTCCCACGCGTAAAAATACGTAAGAGCCGCCAAAGAGCAGTTAATAAGACTTGCGGTTTTCCTCGAAGAAAGAAAAAAAAACAACATACCACATCTGACAAGCCTGAATCTTCTCTCTTTTCGGTCAATCTTGTTGTACAAAGGATGGTCTGAGAATTTCAGGAAAAATCTCCCACGCAAACTCCACAATTGCTTCTCTGTCTACCTCCTAGAACTCGGTATTAAATTCAACCCAGCTTCGAGCGTCACTTTGAGACGCCATCCATAAGAAGAAAAATTACAGGAAGGACTCAGTGACGGGAAGAAAATACAGCGTTCATCTTATGATTATTTTTATTTAATTCGAGGACGAAGCTGTTTTCTCATCAGGAAGAGTTTTGAACCAACCGAATGAGCATCTGTTGAGGAGTCTTGCGCAAGTAGCAGAATATGGCAGAAGGAAAACTTAGAGCAAATTGCGCCACAATACGTCATCCTAAGCAACCATAAACGTCATCTGCACAGAACTTTGATTGCGAGGATCTGGGGATTAAAAACTTGCTGTGACACAATTCGTCATAATAATGTACGACTCTTCCTGCAAGTGTGATATCCGCGATTTCGCGAACTTTCGGGTAAGAATTTATTTTTTTCCTAAGAAACCCTCCTCAACTGAGCACCGATTTATCACAGTAAATAAAAATTCTCACATTTATCGAATTTATTCTCATAGTGACGTTGACAAAAGTGAAGCAAGTCCTTTCGATATCCGGTACAGTTCCACGAATGAAGCTCAGTTGAGATTCGAAAAATTTCGAAGGAGTTTCAGAGTTTCTTCGTATTTTATAAATTTGCACAAGAATATCAAACTGATTCTAGAAGCGAGTAGACTGGAAATTCTACCCTGCTAAAAGCACGCTACGATCACGTAAAAAAATTAAATGCATCAGTAAAAAATGCATAATTCACGATGCCGGTGCATATACTGTACAAGTACAGTATTGCATTGGAAAATAAATTTAATTTACACTTCATAACGTTTGAAACGCAACCAGCATGGAAACACAAGTTTGAAAAAATGAACTTTGAATGATCATTTGAAAATCTGCGAAAAAATGCTTTGTCTTTTCGTATTTTTCATTAGGAAATTAGCGTTGTTATAATTATTCCAAATAGATCCTGGATACATGGAGAAAAAGGCACGAATCCGTTCTGTCAATGACTTGCATTTGGACATCATGCCTATAAAAACAAAACCAAATTCACATAAATATCATGCATTTATCTAAATACATGTTAAACACCTTCTTAATTCTGGAAACAGTTTGACATCACTATTACGCCGAATCTACATCACTGATGGCCTTTGATGAAATGGGGAAGCAGCATCGATCCAATTTTACTGATTTTTAAATACGATGGAAGCTTCTTAATTGTTACTCTTCTTGAACTTTGAGTTTGGAATTTCAAATAAGCCTCGATGAGAAGCAAGTTTTCCAGTCATTGCATCGGAGATACTTGGTCATCCATAGGTGGCAGACAAACAATATCATCACATCCGGTTTTTTCAACACATAAATAAAATAAAATTTTTAAAAAGCCCAGAAAATAAACTTTTACTTGCCATCAAAGAGAAAATATATTTTTGATGTCCTCTGAAAGTTTTAAAGACTAGTAAAGGGCAAAAATTTACATTATTTGTTAAAAGAGAAAAGGGTGAAGATAAGAGTCAAATCATGGTCCCACGCGCTCAGCATCCGACAACTCTCAAAGAAGTTTTTCCGAAGTTCATTTTTCCTTTTATTTTTTAGAAAATACTTTCATAAGGACATTCCCCAAAAGAAGTTGAATAAAGAACAGTCGAACCTCTCTGATTCGAATTTCAAGAGACCAGCTAAAAATCGAGTTAGGGAAACAAGCATTTGCGTCGGGGGATAGAAAGATAAATTGCCGGAAATTGTGCTTATTGAAATTCTCGGCATTAAGAGGCTTATTAAATGAGTTGAAGATGCTGAAGTTGCACATAAATGTTTATTCGCCGAATTAGTCATTCACTTCCTTTACAAACAAATCAAGTTACATCTTTATCGCTTTTCTCTTCCCTGCGTAAATAAAATAATAGGAGAAAGGACCCTAGAAAATTCAAGATGTGGATCTTTGAGACGGAAAGCCTTTGACAACGCACAACTCTCGGAAAAATATCATTCATTTCACCTTTCATAGCGAGCTGTAAAATACTGCATAACAAAGAAAAATGGTATGATATAGTAATATAGTATATTAAAGTACTTATGCCAAGAGAAGCTGAATAAAATTGCCAAATATTTATAAATTTAAAAAAGAAGTCACTGTATTTACTCGAGTACACCAGGGGTTTTCAGTCAAATTTTTTGTCATAAAATGGTGTCCCCTAATAATACCCGTGCCCCATTTTTAGTGCTTGAAATGTCTTTTGAATAAAAACACCCAAATTTGAATTTAGACATACATGCATTGATCTTGAATTCAAACAATTTTCGATAGCTGTATTTCTAATGAAATGACCTTTTCTGTTAAAATTAGCCCGAAGTATCCCATGAGAATCAAATTGAATACACACCTAAACTTTTAAAACTTGTTTTTAATGAATACCTGCCTATGACGCGCACGCCCTCTTTTCCTCTCTATTTTGAGACAAAAAGGGGCGCATTGTACTCGAGTTATTACTTTAGACAGTTGAACTTTCTCTCTACAACGATATTTTCTGTGTAACGAATTTTCCTCCAGCTCCATAGGCTTCTGTCCCCATAATGTACAGATTTTATAAAAAAGAAATTCTCTCAAGAACGAATTTTTTTCTGGTCCTTCGCGTTTCATTGCAGAGAGAGTCCAGCAGTGTTTTTAAATTGAAAAAAAAAGAAAAAAAGACCCTGTATTTTAGTGCTTACCGGATTCAACGTCGTCCGGCCTGTGAACGATGATGGGCTCGGTCCCGAACACGGGCCGTTCTTCGTCTATGGTCTCGTAGTTCTGACTCGCGCACCTCTGATGCCCCTTATTGCCGATAATATTTTCGTTGTCATACACGTAATTAAGGCTCTCGTCTTGGTCCCTGACGACAGCCAGGCGTGCAACAACGACGCCCTCACTCTGTTTAACACCGCCGTCGTTGCGGTGGAACTCGGAGAACCGGTCCTGGAACAGCGGATTGATGCACTCCATGAGCTCGGACCGCAACGACTCCGCAATGCTCATCTCGGGCATGCCACTGAACGGGGATCCGGGCAAGGCATCCACGTCGTCGTAGGTTTCGGACCCAAAGGCCGTCGAGTCCCTGTGGATTTTCTCGTAGCGGCCATCTTCGAGGCGCAGGTATTGCTCGGAACCCGGGCCGCTGAGTTTCAGGTACTGCTCCGACAGCCCGACGAGGTTGTCGTACTCGCCGGTGTCCTCGTAGCTCGTGCCCAGGATGGCCTCGTACTTGGCCGACGAACTGCTGCTGGCCGAGCTGATGAGCTCCAAGTACTTTTTGCTCTCGGTGTCGATCTTCTGGTAGTACTTGTCGTCGTTGTTGGACAGGGTTTGCACGTGATGGCCGAGCTCGCGTTCCATGATGGTGCTGACATCTGTGCACGAGTAGAAACTCGTGTCGGGCTTCTTGGACCGAGAGAATTTGTTGGAGTTGAGATTGCGCCACAGGGACGAGGACTGTTGGCCGATTTTCGACACTATGGACTGGCGACTGGTGGTGGCGGTGGTGTTGGTGGTGGAGCTGGCCTTTGGAACCACGGGTGGGGCGTTTCTGACGGTGCTTTCGGTGCTTTTCGCGTTGCGCACTTTGCCCGCCAGGGAGAACCGGCGACTGACGGGGATTTCGTAGCAGTTCTTTTGCAGGGAATTCCAGAGGAAGGACGAGTTAGGCTTTGTTGCTGGCTCTGAGACACCTGCTTTAAAAAAGATAAAATAAAACACCGTCAAATTCATTTACAAAAATATTGCCATCTTCGATATTTTAAGCGAGTCATAAAAGCAATTCACATGATTTCTCCAACAGAACACAAAACGTGTTAATGGAGCTAGAAAAAATGGGGGGAACTATTCGAGTTTCGGAGATTTCAAGATGAAGAACACGCTTCGATGCATGCTTTTCAAAGATAATTTCAAGAGCAAACACTCGTATTGCATTTTCCCGCAAAAATTGAAGAAAAAAAATTATCAGAATATTGATACTAATGTTCCTTTTCTGTGAACTTCGACCTCGAATCTTCCCGAGAATCATTCAAATCTGATTTTACGATGGTCAACGGAGAGAAGCTGTATTGCACTGTATCATTATTAACATAATTTCTGGAGCCTTAAAAGTTTTATTTTCGGGAGCAAACTAACAAATATACCCGAGAACAGCATGATTATTTTTGTGAAGACTTGCGACGCGTGTTTCGGTTTTCTCCCGCAATAATACGCATAAATACAATATGTAAAAAAGAGCATCCTAAAAAACTGCCCAACGATTTTCTAGTCATGGTTACCATACCGAAATTCACCAACAGTTTCGAGAGCGTCAACAAATACGGTAGTTTATCAAAATCATTTGCGTATTTTCATGAGAAATCTCGTGTGTTTAGATCCACGTTGTGTGCATTCACTGTTGACAAATTATTTGAATGATCAATCAACATTCATTGAACAAGGGCTTTTCAATGCGTCCCGCTGCATATAGTCTCAGATTATTAGCAAGATTTTCATTGTAAACTGGTTTATTGTTTAAGAAATGGTCAAGAAAAATTCGAAAATCCCAGTATCAGCGATCTATGATTATGCTAAATTTGCTCATTAGCATCGATAACGTCAACTGGCAAACATGACACATTCTCGTTATTACTACAGGCAGACCCTTTTCAAAACGATTTTCTGCATACGGCCCATTTCTTGGGGTCTCACAGAGGTTTTTCTACCCACCCCATAAAGGTTCTCTACATTCTACAAGGAACATTCATCTGGTCCCCTGAATTAAGTTTGAGAGAGAGAGAGAGAGTCCACCAGGAACTAATTATTTTACGTCATAAAAGAACACGTAAAAATCTTTCAGAAGAACAGCAAGACAGAGAAGCATATCCGGCATCGATTTCAAGGAATTCAAAACTGATAAGGAAAAGTCGGACGATGGGACAGACAAGTAGACCAAGGCAAAAAGCACCAAGCAAGCCGAATATCTGTCCCGATCTGTTTCCACTCGCCATTCGCCAAAACACGATGACGGCGGGTGCTAAACGCGGCCAGTTCCACGAACTCCGGCGCGGATAGAGCTCAAACATTTGCACGAAAATTGGCAGCGTAAGGAAGTTTGGAAGCCGGCTCGTCCGACGACTGAGCAAACGCCGAACACGCAAACAAATCCGATCGACCGAAGTTTGCTGATTTCCTGAGCTTCAGCGACGTCAAGGTCTTACATGCGGTTTTACGTCTACAGGCTTTTCAAATTTTAAAATGCATGTCCAACCATAGAGAAATAAAAGACAAATATAGTATCGTCACTTCGACGTGCCGAGAAAATTTTCAAAAAAAGAAACCTCAAACACAAGTACTCCCCGAATACAGGAATGCCTTGGTAAATGTACTTTATCCTTTCGAATGGCAAGTCCGAATACAGTAGTGTCTATTAACCTATAGTAATCCAAAGCTATATAGAACAGCTAATTGGTTCCAGGGCCCTGAAGAAAAGCCATTTTACTGAATAGTCGGAACATAAAATGGCTTCTCATTTCCAGATGCCCAGGTAAAAATTCTTCATGAATTCTTCAATAAATGACCAAATGAATGATATGCCACAAATTATCAGCGAAAACCTTTCAGAAAAAAATATCATAGCTTAGGCGCATCAAAAATGGTAACCCGAGTCCATCGCATAAAAAAAATCCAGCTTGCGCGGGTACCAATGCGTAATTTTATTTTGTGAAAACCCCTCGTCAACACTCCAAGCGTCCTGATTAATTCAAAACGTTTCTAGAATAAAAATCAGCCACGAAAATGATTCAAATTCAAAAAGTGCAGATTCATAATTCATATTGGGACGAGAGGAACCAAGAGAAATACTTTAGCTTTCTGAGGAACAATCGAAAATGTATTTTAAACCACAGCGAAGGCTTTTGCAGTTTCAGTACTGAATTTACTGACAATTAAATTGAAATGCAGATTAGGAAAAGAAATCGGTTTAAATTTAAGCCAAAAATGAAAGGCGATTGAACTGAATCGAACGTTTGAACGCAGATTGAATTTTTCACAGCTGGTATGAATATATTTGTGAGGCAAATAAAATCAGTGGGTTACTTCTGGATCCAGGAATTGTATTTCATGAATAAAGTGAAAGTTCACATTTATGTTCAGATGTACAGCTGGCACATTCACTTTTTATCACAGCATTACTCCGATAATGAGGAATGCACTGCAGGTAATAATAAAAATCAATGACAATTATTTGTAAAAAAAAAAAAAGTACTCCATCATCACTGAACAGTTAGCGGCTATTAGTCTGCTTCAAAACCGACCCACTGACGTTTTCAAAACTAGTGTACGTGAAAGTCAGACAATATTTGAAAGAAGAAAAATGAAGGCGTTTTTAGATTTAATATCACTCATTAATATTCCCCAATACGATACTTCAACTTTTCTTCAACAACATGACAACTTATAGTTATAAATATATCGAAAAAACAGTTACGCTTTTCCTACCCAACACTGCCTGTACAGATGTTCCCTAGAAAATTACTCTCGATGAAAACTAATTATAGACACAGAACAACTCATGTGCATCAATTTTAGATCTGTCAGGGCAAAGAAGCCCGTGGCAGGAGAATAATTTTTGCCAAGATAACTGCTGAATTCCCATTACGAACATTTGTTCTCAATAAAAGCAAATATCGAGCTTCAAATATTAGAGTTATGTAAAAATTTGAATGAAACTTACACAACATTTTCAGTTCATACCTACGTGAAAATTAACAAAAAGTATTAACGTATTTCACTGAAATTTTGACGATCATATATTACTTGTAACATCATTCATTCTGAAAAAGTAGACTAGGACTCATATTCGAGGCAAGCCTTATACTTTCAGATGAAAATAGCAGCAACATAAAATCCTAAATTACAATCGGAAGTTTTGCATTGAACGTTCGGAGGTGAAAATTATTATTTAACAGAAAATCACACGCTGATACAGCAAGAAATAGCGCAAATGAGATTGGAAAGATTTCAAGAAAAAGGTATACAGTATAATATTTTAGAATTTAATGCATGAACTGTAGACAAAGACATTTATCTTAGCAGTGCTTACATTAGAAACAGTGTTCACTAATAGTGCAAGACGTTCCTCGACGACCATCAAGGCTTACTTTTTGAAAGACATACTACTGAATCTCGACTTCTGGGCTCACTCTTTTTTCTTCGGCATCAAAACTTGACAAGGTACACTTTCATGCTTTCGTCCACGGAACTTTCCCACCCCATCGGTCTTTGACGAAATCCGGTACATCACAAATTAAGTACAGTTTTTACACTCGAATTCGAGACGGCAACGATTATAAGACGAAGCTTCTTTGCCCAAAAAAAAAAAAAAAAAAGAATATGACATTGCCAGCAAAAGTAAAAAATCAACAGTGATCCATCAGTCTTTCCGTCTGTTAAATCTACTCGGAATTCAGTCGCCAGCTCATTCTTGTCAAACAACAGAATTTTTTTTTATCCTAGAACAAATAATTATTAGTGGTTTTAGGGATGAATTCAAGGCCTATTTTCATTGAAAATATTTATTTTGCCTGGAGAATACACGCAAATAATCTGCGAATCTCAGGAGCCAACAAAACGTAAGACTTCAGAAACTATTTTTGTTTTTAAAAATGCGACTTCTATTTTCAAGTGCGTCTGAAGGTTTTCTTCAAGTTGAATTGATCGCCAGAGCAAAATGTAGATATAATTTCATGCACATTTAGAAAACTGCAGAATGTTTCATCCGCTAGCAAAATATTTCGTTAGTCAGAAATAATGTGCGACTCAAAAACGCCAGCAAATATGAAACGACATCAAATGTAAAATGCGCCGTGATTTTTCCGAAAATTTGTTCATCAAAAAGTTTATTTTTCTAAAAATAAATTCTTTGGAACATTTTTTGCATTAAAAGACACTGTAATCGGGATTTTCTCAACGCCGAAGTGAAACAATAGCACGGAAAACTGCGCAGCCGTAGTATTTTCCATCCAATGCTCCAACACAGAAAGAATCACTTCACTCTTCGCATCACGACGATATTAAAATAGCGCAAACACCCGAAAAATAAATACGACCCACGCGAATAGATAAATAAAAAAAAAGGCGAAAAGAAAAACACATGCACACACCAAACTTTACTCACACTCTTTCGTCGTCGTCGTCGTCCTTTGTTTGCCAGCATTCTCGTCAGTCATCACGACTCTTTCTGCCCTCACTCCTCTCGGCACCTGGTACTCGCTGTCGACGACGACGACGTCTCTTCGCATCGGCGACACCGACTCGTCGACAACGTCGACAAACTGCTTCGGGCACTCGTACGTCTCTCCGACATCGTCACTAGCCGGCAAACTCACGTCACTCGCGTACACACTCGCGTCACTCGCTCCAGTCGACGACGTCGTCGAGCTATTCGACGAAGACTTGAACACTCCAGGCAACGCGAACCTAGGTTTAGATGCTGATGACGCTGTTCTCGCCGAGTTGCTCTTGTTTGTTGACTGATTCTGCTGCTGCTGCTGCTGCTGCTGAGACGAGCGTTTCCAGAATGAGTCTTTCGTTGTCGAGTTTGCGGTTGTCGTACCACTGTTACCACCACCACCGCCACTGGTATCACCACGTTCGAACGTCTTCATGGCACTTCGCACAATCCCGCGCACATTCCCGTAGATCTTGGAGTCCCAGAACCTGTTGGGGGAAGTCGAGGACTTGAGGTCACAGTGGTTGGTCATGATTATCGGCGGCACGGTCGCGGAATGGGAGGCGGCGGCGGCGGCTGCGATGGCGGCGGCCGAAGCGACGGCACCAGCATCATCGAGCAGGTCGGGGTTCGACAGGGACTGCCGCTTGGACATAAACAAGCCCATGCTGCCACCAACTGGACACGCGTCGTCGTCGTCAACGTCGTCTCGGGGCGACGCGTCGAGAAGGTCCGAGATGGACCGGGATCGCGAGGGTTGCAGGGATGCAAGGGCGTTGTTTGAGCCCGGGGACCCGCGCAGGGACTGGATCTTTTGAGCGACTCCGGCGCGGGATCGCAGCAGTCGCAGCTCCACCGACTCCTGCGCACCACTGATGGGACTGCACGTGGAAGTGGTGGTCTTGCAGGCCTGCTGCTGCTGAATGAGGGAGTTGAACTTGGACGCGAGAGCAGCGACGGTACGCTTGTTGACGGCGCAGCCCGCGACGGACGATGCTGGGGAGGAAGTTAGAGTGGACGAGTCGCAGCAGCTGCTGGCATCCTCGGATCCGAGGCCGGACTCGCAGGTTCCCACGAGGCTCGGGCACTTGTTCTCACAGTCGAGCCCGTCGTCGCTGCCGCCGCCCCCGCCTCCGCCGCCACTGCCGCCGCCGCCGCCGCCGCAGCTGCCCAGACACGGATCAGTGTCCGCTCGAGCGCGGCAGGAAGACCCGGTGGTGGTGCTGCTGCTGGTGCTGGTGCTGCTGCTCGGGCGGAGTTTCTGCTGGTCCTCGGCCTCCTCCTGATGAAGAATAGAAGAAAAAAGAAAGAAATTAGTAATTACCTTTTTGGAAATACTGTACAGTGTGACCCCAACATACGAACGATAGCTGAACCCCTGCGAATTTTGACTTTTTATTTTAGACGAGGTCTGTAGGCCTCTCACTGAGCTTTTTGTCTTTGAAAAAGTTGTAAAGACCTTTTTAACTTTTTTTTATAAAACATGTTAAAAAAAATTTAATAAATATTTTATTTTTCTAAATTTGCATATTTCCTAAATATTTCATTTTTCTAAATTTGCATATTTACTAAATAGTTCATATTTCTAAATTTGCATTTTTACTCAAATAAATTGAGCCATCTACATCCACGAATATTATTCCCACGCGGAAATATAGTGTGACCCAAAAATACGAACGATTCGACTTAGGGACACTTGAAGCTGAAAAAAAAATCTGCCCCTGACATCCAGACAAAGACTCGAGAAACAAAAATTTGTCCAACATGTCTGGGAAAATTGAAATTTTTTTCATTTCCATACCTAATCAAAGAAATTCAGCAATCTACATCCACAAATATTAAAAATCCATTTCATCATAAAATCATTTTAATTCATGATCCAAAACACGCCAATTTTTTTTCAAATGTTTTTCCGTCATGTGTGCACAGAATAACAAGACTTGTTCTTGTTCAATTCTTTTTGAGCTCCTACTGGTGCCAAGAGGCCAGAGTCTTTGTGTTTTTTTTATGTAGATTTCTTTTCTGTACCTAGAACTTGAGAAAACAATTATTCAATGTTTACGTACTGCGTTTTAAATTTTTTATGAACAGGTTTTCATGAACACATATGTGAAACATGTGACAACTAAATTATTTTCATAAATGTTCCAACAGACCGAAAAATTTTAGGAGGCTCAAGATTCGCCCTCTCGGATCAAAAAGTACTGGTTAGTTGACCGTTACGTTGAAGGAAGAAATTTCCTTTTTCATAACCTCCACAAGCAGCATTTCAAAAGATATAAATTATCTTTGATTCCATCCGTACATGGAAAACTCATGCTTTCGACCGAAATAAAAGAAAGTTCACGCGAGCGATTCTATCTCGAAAGCCAGCGCATTTAATTGCCAAAAATATCCTGTTAAAACTGCCCTTTTGGTACACGATTCCGTTTTACGCGTATCTGTCAGAGCTATAATAAAATACTGTACATGAAAATTTTGAAGAACTTCAACTAGAACGAAAATAGGAAGCTCGACCTTAGGGTGTGTATTAATTTTTAAATAAGATTACTGTAATATGCAAAAAGTCGAAGATTTATCTCTTTGAAAAAACACAATTCATCCGATTGGATATTCCATATATGGAAAACTTGTTCAAAAATACCAAAGGCAAGTAAGTACTCGCATTGACAATCCCCAGCGAATTCGTGCGATTCTGATCACGGGGTTTCAAACGATCGTGAAGTACTTTCACATCCTCAATATTCCAAATTGCTTTTAAAATTTAAGTCGAGATTGTTCCTTCTTGCTACGGAGTGTCAAGTTACATTGCAAGACACGATACCAAACTCTGTGTACTTTCCAGTGGAGAAAAAGCTAAATTTTGACATCCAAGCCATTCCAACGTTCTCACTCAGTCCTATTATTTTGGCAGATAACTATTTTTTGAAATGCAGAACTCAGAGGCTCTATTTTAAAAGATACAGAAGGCAAAACTAGAAAATCTCTTCGACACAGTCTCGACACCGGCCGCCGGAGAAGCGTGTGAAGAAGTCGGAAAACGTGGGAGAATCCCACTGAATTGACTTCAGCATCCTGCAGACATCAAACCGTTGGTTTCCACTGCTGCACTGGGGAGAATCGTTTCGCAGATGCAAAAAATGCATAAAAGACAATAAAATGATAAATTGATGACTATAAGAATGGGGAAAAATCACACGTTCCTCTCGCGCCCTTGCAGCAAAATAGCATAGCTTTGACTGTCACAGTTACGTCGCTCCCTCGATTTCCTGACCCGCTCAACCATAGAAAGCATGTAAGAATAACTCGTTATACGTACATACACGTAATGTCAACGCGTCACTTAATGAGTCAATCAATATGACGTAAGCGATTTCCTTCAGTTAGTGGGGCCTGGATTTTTTAATTCATTGCTCCAATCGACTATGTGTCTTATTCACCAAGCGAACGATCACTGCATTCGGAAAATGAGAAAATGTCCAAGTTTCCAGAGAGCAGAAAAAATTCTATATTTGCAAAATAAATAAAAGCAACGACGTTACGATTAAAGTTTTGCGGCCTTCTTGAAAACGCAGGGAATGCATACATAGAATACTTCGAATTTTTAAAAGTTATAAACTGACAACTGAATTCGATCGTTCGAACTTCACGACAGATTTTTTCCGCAATTCACTAAAATTTTTCGTCAGAACAATTTCAAATATTACCAGTGTTTTTTTTTCTCAATTTGTGCGTGAGAGAACCCATAAAACACGATAAACGCTTACATAGTGGTTTAATAGTCAATAATACTTTATTTAATAATGATATACTGAATATTGTAACTCGATCATCAGGACTGACACGGTGACTTCGCAAAGATAATCCAAAATCACGGATAATCAAAAACATTGAAAAATATTAGTTAAGTTGATTCTAGAAAAAATGCTGTATTCAATCATGATATGTTGC